GAAGAAGAAGAAGAAAACGCAGGGACCAGTTCTGGTACACCCATGTACCCATGGAGCAAATCTCCAGGGACCTCGGGTGACCCAATCCTCTTCGACACTATTCCCATTGAGCACCGTGCACTTGTACACTACTGTCTACTATTGTACCGCGAACAGCGTCCATCCCTCGAGCTTCCGTCCTCTTTCTATGCAGCTCACTTCTGCAGCTTCACGTGAGCTCAACACCACAAACAACCGTTACAGGAAATTGCTGCCGGACGAATAACCAAAAGGGTGGCGCCCGTGACATAAAGTTCCAAGGGACACGGCATACACTGCTGGGGCTTTTGCCTCCTTGGGATCCAATGGCATTTGCGAGATGCTGTCAGACTGCCAGATGCGTCGATGTTGTGTCACCTCCGGTCCTTCAACGCCATCTTGTACCATAGTGTAGAGGTAATCTCCAACGAGATACAAATTGAGAGGACCATATTGGAGGACTTCGCTTTTCGATCGCCAAGTCCTGCTAGGCCTAGGGACTACCTGTATCGGAGTACACAGTACACGTGTTTTTCCCTAGCTGATCAGGGGAGAGCCTAGTGAGATATCTCCCTCCATCACCACCCCCCGGCACTGCAAAGGGAGCCACGTTTTGGGTGACAATTTTGGAGCATCGGTCTCGGTGGACCCCCCGACTCCAAAACCGCTGCCGGGGATCCTGTCCACTGCCATTCCCGGGGCCAGGACAGCGATGATTTTCGCATACTTGGCCAAGGGAAAAAGGAGGACACAGAGCAAACTTCTCGGGCCTCTTTTCTCATATTTTCGGCCTCTCCCACACCACTCAAGTACACACCCGATCCTATTTCCCTTTTGTTTGTTTTTGCTTCACTGTCAGGCTGTTCCTTGCACCCAAGAGATGACCGCCTGCCTGGGTCGGAATCGCCGGGACGCCTCTTTTCACCTCTGACCGATTTCGACGACTTATTGCTGCTGGATCCCGGAATTGCAGCTCTTGACGCAAACCTTTTGAGTGACATATCTCCACCACCTTTTTTGACAGCTCGGCATCTTGCGCGACTTCAGGGAAAACAACAAGAACCAATAAAAAAAAAAAAAACAGTATTTTCCACCGAGCGTTGCTTCCGCACACACACACGAAAAAAAAACCTCTCCACCGCCGACCGACTTTCTCATCGAACAAAACTTCACTTCTCATGATTTCCTCTCGGTGATCAACTCTTTCGAACCTCAAGGCCTGGGTCTGTTTGGAGTTTTGCGCCCTGGAACCCAGAAACCGCATGTCTACCGGATCCGCGCAACCTTCATAGTTTTCCATTGTTCTACAGCGAAAAAAAGGCCCATCATGGGCCCTCGATCAAAGTTTCCTTTTTCCATACCGGGCCGGAAAGCCAAGCCGGTCCCTCCGCCTCCTCCTCCTCCTCAACCACAGCCACCTTCTGGCCCGTTAACCAAGGCACAAAAGATCCTTGGCACGGGGGAGATCAACATCGATTCTCCATGGGAAATACGAGCTAGTCCGGCCATCAGCAACGCCCCTGTTTCGGGCGCAGCTCATCATAATGAGAGAGATGTTGGTCGGCGAAGGGCTCATCACAATGATGCGGAAGCGTCCGTTGCCCACGAAAGACGGTGGGATAACGAGCCAGAACCGGCCCCAAGGAATACGGGCTGGCAACATAACGAAAGGCCCGAAGCCATGAACTACGAGGTTGCCAACACCTCTCATCAACAACGACGACAGTCTAGCTCGACAATCGCATCGTATTACGACAAGCAGCACCAGCTACAACAGCAACAAACACAAAACTCGGCCATGTCCAAACAACTCCCATCCAAGGCCCATCAACTACTTGATTACGACAACGGCATTCCAGAGACGATACCCGAAGCGAAGATCAGGAAAAAGAAGTCATCCATGCTTGATATCTCCTCCCGCATACTGAAATCCAAGACTTCCAAACACCTAAAGCCTGATTTGGTTGACTACAGCGCCCATGTTCTCGGGCCAGATATGATTACCAACTCTCCAGCTATGCCGACAACGCCCGACATGAGCCAGCAGCCGACGAAGCGCCGGACGGAAAGGACAGATTACGAACGCTACCAACAGGAATCCTATGCCAACTCGGCCGGGCAGGAGATGTACGAGAAGCCAGGTGTGGATGAGGGCCCGGCACCTGACGAAGACGTCTCTTCATTCCCAGCGCCGCCTTTGAATCCTGCTGCAAGAAGGGTTTCCCTGTCTCTGTTTCCGCCAGCACCGAGCGGTCGACCAGTTCAAACACCCAAGCAGCCCGAGGGCCCCCCGTCCAATGCTTTTACACCTTCCAGCTCAGCATCGCCTCACGCGGACAGTGCAAGCATCTCGAGTCGTCACACCAGGACCTCCAAGGCCTCGAAGCGGACAGATCGCAGCATGACCGAGCTTGACCTCCAGATGAACAGCGTCTTGTCTCTTTCATCGGATTCAGAGGAGGATAGCTATGAGCCATCTACACAGAACTCGCTGGCCGTGCCAATGGGGTTGGGCGAGCAGGGACCAATGAGCCCAGCCAGCACTCGTTCCGCAAGCTCGCTACCTGCCTCATTGACAGCAGATTATAGCCGGACCAAGTCAGCAAAGCGATCCCAGTACGGCACGCAATCGCAATTTCTACCTATTCCCGAAGGTGCTGCGGCAACTGATGTCTCGAGGAAGAGCTCGCGAGGCAGCTCTCAGAAAACAAGCTCATCGAAGCAGCAGGCAGCATCGTTGCTGTACCAGACTTCCCGTCTCTCCATCGGCAGCACATCCACCTCCCAGACCGCGATGCATGGTGCACCTGCTCAGTTGAAGAAGGAAACCAATGCCACGCCCCCCCTGTCGCCAACCAGCGTTGACTTTTATCTTCAAAATCGCAGCAGCGAGATGTTTGGGGCGTATGCGCCAGACAACAGATCCGTATACAGCGGTAGAAGCCTAGGAAGCGAAGGGATGGGTCCAGGCCGGCGAGGAAGCAACACCAGCAGCATCCAGGACAACGCCAGCGGGCGGTTCATGGCCGTCACACGACAGGAGGAGATGTTGCTAGCAGCGCTGCGACAGAAGCGCGCCCGCATGCGCGAGGATATCCTTGCCGAGTATGGAGACAACCGGGACGACATGGACGGCGATGACGCGAGAGATGGGCGCCACTCTATGCTAAGCGAAAGCCCCACCAGCAGGGTTTCGAGGCAGTCGTCGGCCAGCACGATGCGCCTGATGGAGGCCCACTCGTTGAGCGCGCGACCACATGGGCATCAGCGACCGCAGATCCGCATCAGCACTGGATCCGTCGATAAGAAATCGGATAGAATGTCGGAGTCTTCGGGACAGATTTTTGTCATGATGGACAGACAGCTTAGGCAGTCGAGGGGCGACGATTCGGAGCCCAGCCTAGATATGGATCGATTTATGCACTATGACGACGCCGGCGACGAGATTTTGACGAGGGGTGCTTTCGGTGGGCCTTATGAAGGCGATGACAGGCGGAATAGCCGATCCAGTCTCGGTGCGCACTCGACTTCCGGATCCCACAGGGCTCAGAGGACTCCGTCCTCGCGCTCCAAGGCTTCGTCGCGGGACAGGAGGGACTCGGATCAGGTCAGCCCCCAGACTTTTGGTCATCTTTGCCGCGAGGCGGAGCGCCGTAACCGAATTGTCGAGGCCCCTGAGGAGGACGACATGGAGGATGGCATCCCCCGCCCTGACTCGCCCATCTCGCCTGGTGACTTCCCGGTGCCTCTTTCGATGCTGAAGAAGAACCTCAGGCTGAGCGCTGTTGGACATTAACCGATACAATGCACAAATATCACAAAATCAAATCAAGATGGATGGGAACCCGTGGATACAATAACAAACAACAACAACAACAACAACAACAACAACACCATTAACAAGTTGAACATGACAAGAAGAGCGGTACGAAGGTAGTACGGAGGGAGGCATAGCTTTGCATTTCTTTTTTGTTTATGTACGAGGAAGGAACGGAGAGTCAGAGATACCACAAGAACAAAGGGGGAGGGCAGGGTAGGGCAGGGACAAGGGAAGGCAACATAAGGGTTTTTGGGCGGGAAAACCAATGACTTGTTATCATGATTGGGCAATGGATCAGCAACTCACTAGCAAACCGTACTCGATGTTTTTCGATTCGTATTTTGCGGCCTGGGAAAGGAAGAGGCAGGATCCCACGACAAGTCCCTGGCATTCTACGAGGCTGTTGTTGTTGTTGTTACAACTAACCAGCTTCTGTACATGCTCTTTTAATGGTGGTTGCTGATCATTGCTGATGATGAAGATAAGCTTTCTGAGAGTTGTAGTACATGTATACCACACCACACCACACTTATACCCGGTTGGAAAAGGAGTGAGGATATGTCATATACATAGCACAACATACACATACAAACTAATAATACGCGACAGACGCGATTGACTTCCTCGGGAGAGGATAGTCAAACAAGACTGATACTGTTCTTTGATGCTTCATGGCGATTCGTGATGGAAGATTGTGAGTGTCTGTGAGATTTGAACGTCGCCTTCGGACTAGACAAGAGATCATCATCGTCTTCATCTCTCCCCTACTTTACGATGGGTTCAATAATGCCAAAGTATTAACTGGGGCCGACAAACTCAGGGTACATATCAAACACCATATGCCCAATCTCGGGAAGGTAGCGATCGGGATATAGTGTATAGCAGGCGCGCATCTGTAGATGCAAAGGAACGAGGCCACGGCATCAAGGCGATGGCCAACACAAGAAGGAGTGAGTTCAAGACTACTGAGTAATTCGAAGGAAGTCATTACTACGGACAGCGAGACAGACCGTCAGCAGCTGGACGGAATTTCATGAAATTTGCACTCGTGCAATCTCTCTAAATCCTCTCTCTATTTAATAACACCTGCTCCCCTCCCAAATCTTCCTCCTCCTCTTTTCTTTTCTTCATAGAACATCATGACTGACTGCGCAGTAATCAAGAAATCCGCGTAGTACGGTGGAGAGCCTGCATTGCACATCGTGGTGCTAGCCGCCGTTGATTGTCCTTCGGGGCCGTCTGGTCGCAATTTTTGGTTCTCAATCCAAGTGCAATGCAAGTTATTGCAACTGTTTATTTTTTTTTTCTTTTTCAATGTGTGCTTGGCCTGCGAGGTCGTGCCATGGGGAAGAAGAGATTACCTGTTGATAAAACAGCTTTTGCACTGCCTGCTGGCTGGTCATCCGCTTGTTGTCGATGCTTAAAATGGAGGGCATTCCCAGATCCCGGTTTGCACTATCTGGATGGAAGATCTTATCGTGCTAACAAAGCCGCTGACATGGCAGGCGTAAGTTTGCTAAAGCAATATCAGACGTCCAACTGCCTTTAACTGTAAAACCTGACCCCTCCCCAACGGGTAACATAAGGCCGGCATCGCCAACTCTGGTCCACTTCCCCACCAGAAAGCATGTCGTCAGCAGCGTCATCCTTGATCGCTTCTCTTCCCTCCTCTTCAACCTACGCAGCAAACATGCCACTTCGACAACGAACGCGACACCCCGCACAATGACAAGACAATACCTGAATTGCTATCTAACAATCTCTACGCCGACAATGCTCTATGCACAACCATACATAACCAATCAGAGAAAATGACATAACAATCATCGGCATCATTCCATCGTTTTTCCCGTCCCTCCTCCACAACCGCATCGCGACCACGGCCATGACCATGCCTCAGCCCTGCCTTGCCCTTTCCTGCCTCTCCACCTCCGCGCGGAACACATTCACCCCGCCCAACCGCGCACTAGTCGGGCTCGTCGGCGACCAACTGTCCCGATCCGTCAACTCGACACCACCACCACCACCGCCGCCCTTGTTATCCCCAGCGCCCCTCGTCGCGATCATCCCCTCTTCAAACCCCGACACTCCCGCGCCAGCGCCTCTCTTCCCGCCAACCCTCTCCGAATAACTCTTCCTCACTCCATACCCGCTTCCACCACCCCTACCTCCCGGTCCTCCCCTTCTCTTACCGAAGAGTCCACCAACCCACGGCACTGCCCCTTTCCTCCTATATCCCCACACCGCAAAAGCGATCAATCCACCGAGCACCAGCAGAGACACAATGGCTACGGGGACGGATATGGCGATTTTCTTGCCTTTGGATAGGCCACCAGGGTCACCGACCAAACCGTCATCGTTGTCGTCGTCGTCGTCGTCGTCGCTGTCGTCGCCGTCATGATTGCCGTCCTCATCGTCAACATCATCGGACTGGTAACCGTTGGTGACGTAGACCAAGGGACCTTGCTTTGCTTCGGTCGGCGCGTCTTCGTCGTAGTTACCGCTGGCCCAGACAGCCATGGTGATGTTGAGTCTGATTATCGGGTACGAAGAGGAGGACCCCAGGAATGATTTGGGAAGGGGGAGCAGGGCGAAACCTTGGTCGGCGGGGAGGATGGAGAAATGGGGGAGGGTTGGGGTTACGGGCTTCGGGGAAGAAGAGGAGGAGGAGTCTTGGGAGAAGGAGACGTCGGCAGTTTGAACAAGGATTTGCACGCGTTGGTTGGGGAGGGCGAAGTAGAGGGTGTTCCATGTTACTACCGAGGGGAGGTATCAGCATGGTTGGTGGACCTGGAGGATGCGAAATGGGTATGCAATGGGTCAAAGGGAGGGAAAGACTCACTATAGTACCCATGTCCAGGCCTCAGGATCGCATCCCGCTTTGGAGCGCAGAACGGCTCATCGAGCGATTGCTGCGGTAGACAAGCCAGGAAGTCGCCGCGGGGGTCGGTCACTCCCGCGATGCCCAAGGCAGTTGGAGCAGGGTTGAGGCTGGTGTAGGTCGCCAGAACCCCGTTGTCTTTGAAGCTGCTGTATGCTTTAGATACGGTGAGATACGGCGGGGGCGCGCTTTGGGTGCTTTTGTCGCCGTCGCGGTAGGTCGTCACGGTGGGCGTGATGGTTACGCCTTTGGTTGTGGCATCGACATGTACCCAGACTTTGGGCGAAGGGGCGACGGTTTCTTGGGCCTGAGGCTGTGGTTGTGGTAGGGCGTGGGCGACCAGGGCGAAGCCGGCCAGTGTCATCGCGAGAATGCCCCGGAGGGTTGGATGAAGATCCATTTTGAGGGATGCTGTTTTGCGAGAGAGCGATGAGATAATCGTCCCAGGCAGACGACGGAGAGGTTGCTTTTATCTGCTGGATCAAGCTCGCCACACTCATCATCCGGTTGTTGGCAGTGCCGCTCTGCTAACATCGTGATCAGTCCAATTGCATAGTATTTGCTTGGACGTGGTTGGGCGCTGCTTACATCATGAAACGTTACCGGCCGCTGTCAACCAGTTTGGCATCAAGGAATCTGGCAGCCTCGCGATTATATGGATGGTGTCACCAATGTCACCAACGAACTGTGAAAGTTCAACAAGAGGTTAAGCTTCGTATGCCGTGCAAAGTCGATTTTGGAAGCAGGTCTACGGTGGAAGCAGATGCGTATAAATTGACATCAGAAGGCAAAGCTGTCTTCGCGGGTCATGTACATGATCTCTCTGCACCAGAGTTGTTGCGGATGGCCGGTTCCCATGAGCTTGGACAAGAAGAGTCTCTATGCAAATATGGTGTAGGGGGTGAAGGGGTGTTTTTCTCTTTTTCCCTTTTACTTGTTGTTTCTTCACTTTCTGCTTCCAGCCCTTTGTCCTATCTCCTCAGCTCCCCACCCTCCATCACGCGCACGCCTCTGCTGTCCCAATCGGGATAAAAAGCAATGTTCCCTCGTGGTATTTGGGCTTCCAGCTTCTTCAGCTGTCAAAACCTCTGGGATAGGCCTGCTTTACAGTGGCAATGGCCTTCCCCAACATGGTCTGAAGCCCTATCGGAGACCCATCTGGGTGCCGAATCGACGGTGTTATATCACAGTACCAGAGTTTGTTTGCTGATGGCTTCCAGCAGCCTTCACTTTATTGTCCATAAGCTATGCGGGGAGCACACCATCAAGCCATCACCCTATTCTCATTTCTTCTTTCGACTCTATTGATACTCGCCACTCGATATACAGAACCACACCATGGGGAACCACAGTGATTGGCTTAATACCACCCTCTCTGTGAAAATTATTGCGGGGTTTGACGGTTGAGGATGGCACAGCAATGGTGTGAAGGACGGCCTGAAGCCTGAAGGACATGCCTGACAGCTTCAACCCGCATCTGGGTGCTACACTATTGGAATCCGTATGCAGGATTATATAGGATGTCCTGGGTATTGATGAGAGCGGCGACGGGCTTCAAGTCCCAACTCTGACCAGTGCGAGCCGAATACGGCAAGTCCTGACTACCGAACGCTTCTGGCTGTACGTACAGAGCTGAAGAACTATCGTGGGAATCTCGTGGTTGGCCAACACCCTTTTGGATGCACCATGACCGGTCCGGCCTGTTATCGTCGCTTTTGTGGCGTTTTGTGCGGCAAGTCGGAGCTATGGAAAAATGGCCTCCTCTTTAGCAGCCGAATCCTAGTTATAGTCGTCACGGGCCTGATGTTTGTATTTTACCACCCTTTAGGCTCGATATGTCCTTAGAAGGAAGCCCTTTATAACCCGTATCGAATGCACCCCTTTTACATGTGTGCTTACTACCTTATTGAACCCAACCTCTCATCCATCTGTCTGTCCATCTGACATCATCTTGTTCTCTCTATTTTAGTCAACTGGGCCGTTCTTTACTGAAACAAGACACATTAATGTCATTCACTTAACTTGTTTGATATCCAGTCACTGTGTGTTTCGTTTTGATACCCACAAAATGAAAACCAATGGCGTTGCCAAAGCAGCTCTTGCAGTTGGACTTTCAGCCACTGCCCTCGCTCAAACCTCCTGCGACAAAGTTCTTGTCCCATCATATAACCTCCCTGTCGTTGCCGCTGGATGGCAAGCCCAACTGATCGCCGGCGAGTTGACCAAGCCCCGAAGCCTTCAGTTTGATAGCTCGGGTGCTTTGCTGGTTGTTGAGAGCGGGAAGGGTATCACTCATCATACGCTCAAAGACAATGGAGGCACTTGTATCTCTGTCTCTGAGTCCAAGACGCTCATCGATGAGAAGACGGTACGTTTCCTTCTGAGTTACAAGAGAAGCAAGATCAGCTAACAATCAACAACAGCTGAATCACGGCATTGCTCTCTCCAAAGATGGCAAGACCCTCTACGCATCTTCCGCCTCGGCCGTCTACGCCTGGGACTATGACTCCAAAGCCGGCACCGTCAGCGGCAAGCGCGAAATCGTCACCAACATGAGCAACAACGACCTCGTCACCCGCACCCTCCTTCTCTCGCAAAAGGAAGACGGTTACCTGCTTGTCTCCCGCGGCAGCGCCGACGGCAACGAGGCACAAGCCGAGGTGCTCACCAACGGTCTCTCGCAGATCCGCGCCTTCGACATCTCCAATATGACCAGCTCCACCAAAGCCTACAACTACAATGAAGACGGCATCGTGCTCGGCTGGGGCCTGCGCAACTCCGTGGGGGTCGGCGAGCACCCCATCACAGGCGGCATCTACGCCGTGGAGAACTCCATCGACGGCGTCACCCGCAACGGCAAGGACATTCACGAGAACAACCCGGGCGAGGAGCTCAACTTCTTTGGCTACCTCAACGGCACCAAGATCCTCCCCAACCAGGGCGGCAACTTTGGCTACCCCAAGTGCTTCGCCGTGTGGGACGTGTCTGAGATTCCCGACAACGATTACAACCTCAAGATCGGCTCGCAATTCGCCATCACCGAGGAGGAAAACGCCAAAACCGTCTCGGGCAATCAATTGACAGACGAAACCTGCGCCTCCGACTACGTGAGTCCCCGCCTCACGTTTCCGGCCCACTACGCCCCCATGGACATCAAGTTCGCTCCCAAGGGGGACGTCGCCTACGTCACGTTCAGGGGCTCCTTTGACAAGACGGATCCCGTCGGGTACCGGCTGTCCGCCATCTCGTTTGACTCTGTCACTGGCGAACCGACCGTCTCAGCGGAAAACAGCCGCGACGCTTTGCAGCAGCATGTCATGATGAATAAAGACAATTCGGTTTGTCCGGATGAGTGCTTCCGACCGGTGGGCATGGCGTTGGATTCTAGCGAGAGGCTGTGGATGACGAGTGATAGTACGGGCGAGATTTATGTTTTGATGAAAAGGAAGACGGAGGAGGAGAACCCGACGACGACGACGACGGAGAATGGGACGATTGTTACGGGGACTGGGACTGGGTCGGGAAGCGAGAGCTCTCCGAGCGCGACGGGGAAGGGCGAGGATGATGATGATGATGAGAATGCGGCGGGTAGGCTGTTGGGTGGTGGTGGTGGGTGGGAGACGAGGGCGTTGATGTGGGCGGGGGTTGTAGGTGTCGCTGGGGCTTTGGCTCTGGTTTAGAGAGGATGGTGATGATGGTCTGAGGATGAGTTGGAGAAGAGATGTGTCAGGGTGTGAATGAGGAGGTGATGAGTGACTGAGATGTTACATGAGAATAAAGGATGATCAATGTGTTGGGCCACTACCGAAGCTATGAAGGCCATATTAAGAGACTACGATATTAATCATCAGATTCACTACTGAAGTTGCAACACGCTAAACAAGAAGTAAACTCCAGACTCGAAAGAAACGCTTATGCAAGAATGCTATGCCGTAACATGAAAGACGAGTAAACAACCAGAGGTAAAGTCAAGCGATCCAGCACCCAGGTGATTGGTAACTGCAAAAGGGGAGGTGGAGGAGAACTGTGTGCTGTGCCAGGTCATTGCAGGAAAAGAGGGCCATCAATGGTCTCGGTGTCCGAGGTGGGAATGCAACTGGAGGAAATTTTCTGAATGTCGAGAAGCTCCCAATGGACGAAGATACGCTGAATACGTTCTCATGGTGTGTAAACCTCGTTTGTCCTAGGAACAATCATGAAGTCTCCCGCCTCAGTATCTGGGATAGGGAAATGGGATGATATGGCGTGGCTCACAAAGGTTGGATGTTTGGATTATCAACATGCCAATGAAATGCCATTCTCAATCCAGCCTTGAGTGTCGAATGAGGGCGTTGGAACGCATTTTCTGGAACGGATTCCTGCGAATATGAACCGAGTGGAAAGGGTTATGGTGAGGTGTTGGGCCCGAGATGGTGTGTTAATCCGAGGAGAAACAGGTTCAGGAAGGAGTTCGGAAAAAAACATTGGGTTAACTCTCGCCAACCTCGTAGGATTTGCTGATTGCGTGCCATTCTTCCACGTTTTTGCATGTACAGCTCGCTTGTCTGATCCTCTCCAGGCAGGTGGGTGCGGGTACGGGTGTGAGGAGCACCGATGCGGCAGATGTTTAGAGGTAGCTGGGCCCAAGATGATTGGGTACCACACTATTTGCACGTTGTCTTATGGTGTCGAATGAAGACTGCTAGACGGCAAAACCTCCGTTCTCTGCTCCCCATACCTTTACTTCAGCATGCAGTTCCAATTTCCCGGGTAACCCCAGTAACGTATTCACACTTAACAATGCCCGCACCTCGTCTTCAACTCGCTTGGCAAGCCGCGAATTGCCTCCTTCTCTTTTCTTGTAAGGACGATGCCGAAATACTTCTGCAGGGCCTTCACTCTCTGCTCTTCCGACTCAAATTGCTCGATGATCTCGGACTTATCGCCTATCCTCCTCTTAACATAATCCTTGTGCAATATCAGGAGGCCTATAGGCTGTTCCTGTTTGTCGTCGTCGTTGTTGTTGTCGTTGAGCAGAAGCCACATGCACATAACGGTCTGCACAAAGAAGCTTTGAGGGCTGGTCATAGTTGATAGGTTCATGACCTCAAAATCGGCCGGGAAGAACTCTGTGTCGGCGGCAAAACAGTACATTTCCTTCCAGGGCGCAGACGGGTTTTCCTGGGTTGAGTATACCCATATCCTTTGGTTGGTAGGATCGGTGTGTTGGGAGAGGCTTTTGTATTCGAGTTTACCTCGTGCTGGGGAGACTGTGGTAAAGATGTAGTTGTGCTCCAGAGGCACTGGATTAACCGAGCCGTGGGAGCCGAATCCTACATCAACCAGATAACGTGTGTTGTTGATGGTCACGATGTTGACCATGTGATTCCTGAGAATCCCGTTAGTGCACGATGCTTACTTAGGTGGGCATAGGCCTCTGGTTGGGTACCACAAACCATCCTTTGTACTCTCTATCGCCTGCCTTCACTCTTCCCCCCACGTTAATGAGTGTGTAGCCCAGACTGCGCAAGACGGCCCCGAAGAACGTATTGACTTCCATGCAGTAACCTCCCCTCCCCTTGTCGACGATCTTTTCAAAAAGGTCCTCCAGGTCCAGTGACAATCGGTGGTGTTGGGAGTAATGCAATGTCAGACTCTCGAATGGAACGCGGGCCATGTGGCGTAGCTGCAACATGGCGAGCCTGCCGAGGTCGTCTTCGGCATCCTTCGGCGAATAGCCGATATGCCGGAAATAGCGATCCAGCTGATCTTGGGTATATGTTACCATCTTTTCGGCTCCTTTTTTTTTTTTTTTCTCTCTCTGAAGGGAACAAAGCGGGAGGATTTTGCGATAGATGTATAAGTAAGAGAAAGAAGAAACGAAAGACGAGATTTTGAGTCTTCTTGTATCAGTTGTGGAGATGATCACAAAGTCCCCTGCCAAAGTTCCCCGCCTAGCAAACCCGTTCACTTAGGGCCCCGGTACTTGATGCCGGGAATGTTGGGCCCAACTTCCAAGGAACCCTCGCGATTGCCACCAGTCGCAAACATCGATGTGGAATACCTTGGGTTATCCACCCCCCAGGTTCTCTCGTTCCGTTGAGTTAATGGACTAGTTCTGGGCATATGTTACTAGGTGATGCGGTGTGGAAAGTTCAAGAACAACTTCAAACACTGCCCTGTAGCATCCGCGTTTGTCGGCCCCCTGATCTTCATCCCCACTCCAACATGACGTCCTCTAAATATGGGAATTCCAGTACAGCTCGACAAATCAACCTAAAGAGCTGCGGGAAGTCGAAGTAGCAGCTGCTGTGCTGTCTAGTTTGAACGAGAGGGAGAGGTGGTTCGGGAGCCAAGGAAGTACTAGCCAAAGTGCGAGGGTAGAGGTAGGAGAAGGAAGTTATATCAAGTTGGAAGAAAACGAATCGGATGCTGCTTCTGTTTACACAAATAAGTTGTATCAGGACTAAGGTCTCCGCAAAGTCCTTCCAGACTTTGATCCATGTTTGGTCAAGTACAGAACTCTGCTGCAAAGTCTGGGTTTCGATGGGGTTGTATGTGTGGCCGGTTTTTGGTTGGTTCTGTAAACACTCTTGCCCCTTCTCCCGAAGCTACACAGTATGCTTCGCTGAGCCCCGGTTATCAGAAGCCACTACCAGATGGATATAGTCCCCTCATTTGTTCCGCGCAGCAACTCAAACTCTGCCAACTGTCATTTTCTTGACCTCAGGAAGAAGTCGATTTTAGCGAACCATAAACCTATACAAGTTGCCACGTATGGCTCGCAGGAGAGCACCGCCTCTTTACACTTACCAGCTGAAGGTTAGGATGAGGTGAAACTCACGAAAGGCTTGCCAAGAGAGCTCAACTGCTTGCGGGCCATACATGGAGCCCGTAGCGATGAGTCGCAAGCAACGACCAGCGACGGCGCGGTCCAAGTCATTGCTCAAGGGGTTACTCCAGACGCACGCGAGGTGGCAGGAGGGAAGGCATCGTGCTGGCTTTTCGGGAATGCTCGTTCGATTCTAGCCACAGGAGGGCAATCTGAACGAGTGGGTGTGAAAGTCTGGACTTGTAAACTTCTGGTTAGCTTGTTGTCAATCTCCGGAACTGCAACTCGGACAAAGTGAGGACAGTCGCTCGAGGTGCGGGAGCACAAGGATTTTCTGGGAAAACCAAGCAAAAGGCGCAGGGAGGGATGGTGATTAAAGTCATGGTATATTATATTCGACCCTTTGATAAATCGCTTTGACCTTATGGATACTATTTCTTTTGAAATCCAAAACTCCAAACAAATAAGGCAACGCTTAAATGAGGTTCTTCAGCTGCTGACCGGCCAAGAACTTTCTCAAATTCTCGACGATCAACTGTTCGGCACCCTGTGGCCTGCCGCCGGCCGCGTGTGGGCTGAGAATGAGGTTGGGGGCCTTCCAGAGCTTGCTTGGCTCAGGAAGAGGTTCTGTCTCGAACACGTCGAGAGCGGCACCGCCAATCCTCTCCTCCACAAGAGCGTCGTAGAGGGCATCCTCATCGATGGAGGTGCCGCGTCCGACGTTGACCACCCAGGCGTGCTTGGGGAGCAGCTTCAGCCTCTCGGTATTGAGAGCGTGCCTTGTGGATGGGTCGCCAGGGAGGATCATAACCAAGGCGTCGGTCTCTGGTAGCAGCTCGGCAAGCTTGTCCTCAGAGTATACCTCGATTCCATTGCGGACACCTTGACGGCGAGCAACTCCGCGAACCTGGGATCCAAGTTGCACAAGAGAGGGGGTGAGAGTCTTTGCGATATTTCCGAAGCCCCAAATCAAGACGCGGGCGTCACGGAGGGTGGTGAATCTATCGGCGGGACGATCGGGCTGGGGACCGCCGAGGTGACCGGGCCACTTGCCCTGGAGCTGGTAATCCCGCATCTCGTAAAACCTGCGGGCGGCATTGAGAAGGAGACCAAGGGTATGCTCGGCGACGGTGTGGTCGTGGAGACCAGAGCCGGTGGTGACGGCGACCTTGGAGGTATCGAAGCCGGCGCTGAGAACGTCATTGGGACCGGCGGCGAGAGACTGGATCCAGCGCAGCTTGGTCAGACGGTTGACGGCATCTTTGAGGTTGTCGGAGGAGTTGGTCCAGGTGACGAGGATCTCGGCATCGACGTGCTCCTCGGGAATGGGAGCCTTGACGTCGTAGGGGTGGAGCGTGACGGAAGGGAATCCTTCGATCTGGGAGATGTCCAGCTTGAGAGAGGTGGGGTAGAGGAGCTTCATGTTTGATGTTGCTGCAGAGAGATGCGAGTTGATGCGGGAAAGAAAGCGGGTGGGAGTTGACCGCATTGGGCTCGTCCTTTTATGGGATGGGATGTCGATGATGATAAGTCGTCCTCGTTTTGTTGGAGTAACCTAGGTTGGGTGGGTTGGTGATGAGATGAACGCCCGGGGTTGGATTCCCTTGGGGCGCTGTTGGAGGGGTCTGGTTCCGTCTAAGGGCCAAAAGGTGGGGTGGAGATGCTTCCGGTCCATTTTCCCCAGAAGTTCCCGTCCTGAACCCCAATTTCCTAGGGGTTTCCTAGGGGATTTCCCCGCTTCCCCCCCCTCCGGGCCCCTCCCCCACGCACAATACCCCCACTTGCCTCCCACTGACTCCCACTGACTCCCACTTCCTCTCGTGTCCCCCAATCTCCCACGTTCGGAGAAATTTGACAAGACATTGCGGGCGCCCACGGGGTACAATGTCCCGATCTTGGTCACGGTTTCGGCTGAATTTCGTGGTGGGGGCCGAGTGGCCAGGGGCAGGTTGGGGCGTGGAATCCAACTCGGAGCCCTTTCCTCTTTTCAATCACGTCAGCATACAAAACAAACACACCCACAAACACCATGCCAGTGTGAGCTCTCCAACGTTGTCACATATTATTCAATGCTATATCAAACTCATTAAGCCATGGTATCGTAGCACATCCTCCCAGAAGCCAAATGCCCAAAACTCCAGCCAAATCATGTTTCTTTCCCTTAACCCGGTAGCCTTGATTCCTCAAACTCCCTTTAGCCTCGCTATTGACGTCTGGCATCCTACATCGCCTTTCCAACCTCAAATCCAGTGCCTCCCGCAGTATTTCCTTCGCCAGCCCTTCTCTCTGCTTCCTGACCCTCTTCCTCTGCGCTTGACTCGGCAACTGCCGGAAAGTAACTTAGCGTGTTGGGATCCGCAGCAACACCACTGGGGCCTTGTGCCGGCATTGGCTGACCTGTCGGGCCCCCGGCATCCAGGCTCGAGCTCGGCTGTCCTATCAGCGTAAATTCGCTATCAGCCCTTCGAAGGTTAGCCGGATGAGGCGCCAGCTTCTCATTATCGGAGGGGTCCGACTTCGGAATGGGAACGGTCGAGGATCGCGATGGCGGAGGTGGCGTGGGGTTCACATCATACACGGAAACCACTGGCGTCGACTTGGTGTCCTTTGTGGTGATCTCAGGTTCCGCCTTTGTTGAGGCTTCCGGCGAAGACGACACATCATCGGACGGCGAGGGCTTACTCGGGCCAGGTTCGCTCGAGGCCGGGGCAGGACCAGGTCCGAAAGGAGTGGGAGAGTTCCAAGGAAATCCTGGAGGAGAAGGCGCGCCTCCGTTTCCAGGAGTCATCATCGGAAACGCTCCCGCTACGAACTGCGCCGGGATGATAAAATGCATCGGCGTTCCTTGCTGCGGCGTCATGGAAGCCCAATCGGGTGTTGCCATCGGCGAGCCAGTCGGCGGTGCGGCGTAGACAAAGAACGGAGCGCTGCTCGAAGAAGATGGGTTGGCGAACATGGTGTACATCGGGGCCGGCGGGAGAGGCGTTTGGGAGTTCATCCCATAAGCCTGGCTTCCACTTGCTTCGGATGGCCTGCTGAACGCCTCCTTCTCGTGGACCTCAGGCCGCTTTCCGTTGCCCATGCCACTGCCTTGGACTTTGTCCGAACTTGTTCTTGCGTCTTCCAGTTGGTCTTCGAATTCCTGCCTCACGTCCTCAAGCTCATCGCTGTGGTTATTCTTCAACTTCCTGATGGTAATGGCCTCTGGAAAAGATATCAGCTGATGAGCAACCCGAAAAGACAAACACAACGCCACTTACCACTCAGCATCTGCAAAAACGTAAACACGGTAAGTGTCATCATCAGAAGAGGAACAAGCTGACCAAAGGACTTGGGGTCGTTCTCCGGGTTGGTGCCATTATAGAGTTGGATCCAGCCTGACCGGTCCACCCAGCGGCGAAGCATCTCAATGTACTCGGAAGAGGAGGCCATCGTGTATCCTGAAATTACCAGGCCAGCCAGGAGATAGACGCCATAGACCTGTCCACCGATACGATTCACCCACTTCAGCTTCTTCTGTCCTATCATGTCCACCAACCACTTGCAAAACTTTTCCCGCTTTCCGCCATTCTCCCGTCCTGCGCGAACGACCCGACCAAGGGTAACAATGTTGGCAAGGACGTAGTACAGGACAAGAATGACGAAGGGAGTCCATCCGGTGATACGGTCGCCCACCTTGAACAGCCCGGCTCCGTGGAAAGACTGCTGCAAGGTGTTTGCAAACTGCTCAGCGCTCCCTTGGAAGCAGGCGGCTGGTAGAAGGAGGGTGCTCCATTTCTCGTCGTCTTTAGGAACTGCGGTCGGAAACGCAAGCTCGGAACCTGGGGTTGCCTGGGTAGAAAGATAAATTCCCGTCGCGAGATACAATAACCCTGTCGCTACCGTCCGGATCCCGGCCACCCAAGGGTGCTCCCAGTAGTGCTTGGACACAAGAAGGGTCAGCAAGTGTGTGGCGCAGGTGATCAACAGCATGTTCGCAATAACATTGTAGTGGTAGGCCGAGATGGAGCAGGCTTTGGCGAAGCGCATCGTGATGGCGTACGCCGCTCCGGTGAAAATCTGCTGATCACTACACGAGATGATGAGCATCTCGAAGAAGCCGCCGATGCTGAGCTGCCATCTTTTGTTTTCCTTCTCTCTGTTGAGCAGGCGGTTAGCAACCCCACCTTCCTTGGAGCGCTTCGTCCATCCAAGTATGACTTACTCTGCTGTTATCCTTTTTTTGAGCTTTGTCAACTTGGCGTAGTGCCACAAGACATGCAAGAAGGCTATTATTAACGCAAACCCCGTTATAACGACAAAGGCTCCGAGGATCTAAAGACACGGAAACGGGTAAGCTTGTGTCCACATACAAGTTGTGCTCCGGGGAACCTTACACCGATACCCGCAATATCTGGATCTGGGTTAAAGTCTCCGGGTCGGTTTCCTCCGACAGATATCACGGTCTTGTTGTCGGATGCGTAAACTACAGTACAATCTACCGCGATTCCATAGTGCTCACGACACTGCGGTACTGAAGTATAGGCGCCCATGTTCACCGCTGATCAGGAGTCCTGATCCGAGGACGGCAGCTGGGGCTTGGATGTCGATGGACGATCAAAACTTGAAAACCTCAAAAACCCGGTGATGGCCGTGAAGAAAGAAGTATACGCAAACTCCCCAAGGGCGAGAGCCCAGCATGTGCTTGCCCCCGAGCCGAGAGAGGGCTCTCGAGTTATAAAGCCCATCTGGTCAGTCTCTCGAGTTCAGAAAGGAGAGCCAAGCCCCACATGCGGCTATTCCGTCCGCGACAAGGGTTTATCACTGGACTTGGCACCAAAAGCACCCCGGTCCCTCAACTCAAAGACAGGGAATGCTGGAAAATGCGGTGATACCCTTGAAAAGCTTCTTGATCCAACAGAATCGCGAGGATGCTCTTCTACTGGCTGCCGCCTTGGCGGACCCTAGTGTCGATCATTGGGTTTCAAGACCCTCTGCGGTTCAGGCTGGGACTGTCAGTAGGTAGTGTACACGACAAAACTGACCTGTTGGACGGCCGTGATGGTTTGCGACTTTCAGTGGCTTGGTCGAGATGATCCTCTGCTGGCATTGGTGCCACGACGGCCACAACAGGGCTCTTTGGGCTCCATAATTCCGGATGAGAGCTGACCAGCCACGATACGACATTTCAGCAAGCATGCGGTTTATGGCCGCGGTAGCTCTGCCGGACTGTCTGCGACTGGTGCTGCAAGAGAGCCTTCTCCAGGAGGGCCGGTCCGAAAGTTTTTTTTTTGGGTGGCCTCTCCAATCAACAAAAGGACGACAAGGGACTCGCTGCCAACGAAGAAGCTAGCTACTGACAGCTAGACTCTCCACAGAATAGTAAGGAAAAGAAGGGCTGCAATAAACCAGTGGCTGGGAAAGAAGCTTTGCCGGACTTCGACTTCAGCTTTGTCGATCTCGACCTTATTCCCTCCCTCTTTCTGGCTGCAGAAGGCACATGCAGTTTTCGACATTTGCCCATTCATCGGTCGTCACAGATGATCACGAATCGCAGACTCCAACATGCACGGGTCGTGAGTTGCATGAGGTTGTGGCAGTTTGTGATTTAATTCGATGCCCGTTTGGTGCGCCTTCCCCTCTCCCCCTCCCCCCTCATTCAGCTCTCGTCCACTGGATATGTAAGAAAGCAAAATTTTCCAATCTCTCCAGTCTAGGCCTGAATTGATCCCATGGCCCTTTTTACCCATCCATCCTTCACCCAGCTCTTCTCCGCATCGTCCGCCGATCTGAGGAATTCAGCTATCGTTGAAAGCGCCACTAACCGCGGGCCATGCTCCGGTTCTGGCAAATTTGGGGAAGGCTGTCGGGACTCGGCGGCCAAAGGCCAAGGGAGGGTCTGGGTCTTTTTTTTTTTTTTTTGCTCTTGAGAAGATTAGACAAGTCGTTCGGGCCTTGAGGCCTTTTGAGTCTGAGGGTGTGAAATGGCCATGGTGTGATGGATGGTGGAAATGAGATATGTCACTCCCAGTGGCTCTCGAAGCTTCCTAAGATGCCTTAGAACTTCAAGATAAGCCTTATCAAAACCAGGAATACCCCCCTCCGTCAGAGACCGAGACATCTTCTAAGATGCACAACACTGGCCGTTGAATGGCCAAGTGGGCTGTATTGTGGGGACTAGAAAACCAATGCCTGTCATGGACTGTACAGAGGGCTGAAAGGTTAGAGAGTGGTGATCAACGCCGTACATAACGGCAGTATGTAAGATTCGTCCTATTCCCCGACTTGGCCGCTATTGGTTGTGGAGAGGAAGTCTGGACATGATGAGCATCATTGACAAGGCAAGTCTGGACACACCTGCAGGCACCGTGGGACCTGCAAGACTATAAACGTGCATGCGAGACATGCTGCAACAGGCTGGGACTGCTTGGGACTAAGCGAAGTGGCTTCTTTTCCTCCGTGGGGGAATGTCTCAGAGAAACAATTCCATGTCTACTCGTGCTACGGGAGGTGGGCGGTTGCGGGAGTCGGCACGATGTCCATATTTCGTTTCAGAGGTTATGAGACTGGTACCTAGAAAGCTTAGGGAAGCTCTCTTCTCTTAGATACAGTAAGTAAGTGGCTAGCAAAGCCTGTAGACCCTACTTTGTATCCTGAGATGTTGTAGGAAGAAGGTCGATGTTGGTTGCACATTTACAGGTCTTTCTTCGAATGCCTCGACAGCTCTGGGCAATGAAACTGTGGAAGTTTCACGATATCTTGCTATAATTCTTCGAAGCTCAATTACTATGTTACAGCCCAGCTCGATACCAACGTGATGCTCAAGTCAGCCCCGAAAGTCAAAGTACAGGCTTTGTGGCATTTGTAGCGGCTTTGCGCACTGGACTACTTATGTAGCAATTTCTTCGCCCCACTTCAACAAACCATCAAAATCCCCTTGTGGTGTAGTTGGATATCACGTTCGGCTGTAATTGTCTAGATTGTATACCGAAAGGTCACCGGCTCGATTCCGGTCGAGGGGACATTATGTTTTTTTTCTTTTTTTTTCTCTTGTATCGTCGACTATCGTTTTCCACCATGATGAAGACAACTGGCAGATTCTTGAATTAGCGGCTTCTTTTTTTCTTTCTTGGGAACCACAATTGCAGTCTCTACGAGGATGGTAAAGTCTCGATTTCACATCAGCGGCATCATCATTTGAGAGTGGTGTTCGCTAGATGTAGCGCACAGGCCACTCCTACGAAAACTGCGTTGTTTGACTGCGACTTCCATTTCCATCATCACTTTTCTCTTCTCTTCTCAATTCATCATCAGTCACTTCGCTCACTTTCATGCTTCCCTTTCCATCAAACGCTCACCACCAGTCAAGAGTTGTCAATCTGTCCCAGCCACCACGCAAATCGCAATGTCACACCCGCTTCAGTTTATCAGTGCTTCACGCACTCGGAAACATCTATCACATCGCGCGTGACCAACGTTGAGAAATCAATGATTTTATTCTGCGACACACGCGTTTCTATACTGTCTCACTGCGGAAATCCGGCTTTTTTCTTTATATCACACTGATTGAAATCCATTGCAAATCCCATCAACTGCCGAACTCTTCTGTCACCAAATCGAGCTCCATCAATCCTTCCAATGTATTCCTTCCATGTTCAAGTGAACCAACCAATCATTCCATCGTTTATTCATTCATTCATCTCCCGAATACCACACTTCCTCCTCTTGGATCCTATCCTTCCAAACTCGTCTCAGGCATCAGCCATAAGCTTAGCAGCAAGCAACCGGCTTGATCATGTCAGCATTAGGCTTAGGCACCATGGGCGTCTGAGGACGAGGAATAGGATCGATGTCATCGATGCACTCATCATCGGAATCGTCGCTGGTGACCGGAACTAGAGGAGTCTGAGGGCGAGGGACCGGCATCTCATCATCGCCGTTGGGGTGGGGAGTAGGAGGGCGGGGAGCGGGCTTGGAGTCACCCTCACCGTCGGAGTTGGGAACAGGGACGAGAGGGGTTTGGGGACGGGGAATAGGGTCGTCATCGAGGCATTCATCGTCGGAATCGTCGGAAGTGACGGGGACCAAGGGTGTCTGAGGACGAGGGACTGGCATCTCTTCGTCGATGCACTCGTCATCCGAGTCGTCAGAAGTAACAGGCACCAAGGGTGTCTGGGGACGAGGGACCGGCATCTCTTCGTCGAGGCACTCATCGTCGGAATCGTCGCTGGTGACAGGGACTAGGGGAGTCTGAGGACGAGGAACGGGCATCTCTTCGTCGATGCATTCATCGTCAGAGTCATCAGAGGTAACCGGGACCAAAGGAGTCTGTGGGCGAGGAACGGGCATGTCATCGCTATTGGGCACCGGGACTAGAGGGGTCTGCGGGCGGGGGATGGGGTCCAACTCGAGGTGATCACCATTGGGGTGAGGGGTGGGGGGTCGAGGAGCGGGCTTAGAATCGCCCTCACCGTCAGAGTTGGGGACCGGGACCAAGGGAGTCTGAGGGCGAGGAATAGGATCATCCCTCTTCAAGGGGCCGGACTCGAAGCCACAGTTGTCGGGCTTGTTGGGACCGGGGCTGCCGGGACGAGGCTTGCCGGGCTCGGTGGAGGTGGTGTAGTCCGACTCCGGATGGTACGCCTTGGGAGAGACGTGGGTGAAAGTCTGAGTAGCGACGCAAGTAGTCATTTTGTTGATGTTTTGGTAGTTGTTGGTTGTTAGATGTGGTTACTTTGTTGTTAGCTTTGGTTGTTGCAGTGGTGGTTCTCGTTGGTGTGAAGATGTTAATGCTGATGGTGATGAGGGAAGAGAAGACCAGGAACAGGTCGGGGAATGGTTCGTTATATGCACTTTCAAGTCGCATACTGTCGAGTTACGGGTTCCCAGGTCCGCACAACTCTGGAGGCTTGTCGATGCATCGTAATCACTGGAAGCAGCATTGTTGGTGTCGACACAGAGAGATGATTCACGAGAGTGTTTGTCGTCTTGTATTTCACGACATAGTCCGGCATCAGCTGAACCAACACCATGATGGGCTTCGGCACCGACAACACAAGTTTGATGCAGAAACACCTACAGCTATGACAAGTGTTGGCCGTGGGTGATGAATGGTAGATTCTCTGGTTCGACAATCTTCGACAAAGATCCCGACAGCTGCCATGTCGTTGGCTTCGGAAGCTGTTTTCTTGGATCAACAATCGAGCGCAGAATATTCGAGGCAACAATGCCATAACCAACGAAGCACCGTCATGCTTCATCAAACGCAGCACGCTCATTTCAAAACGCGATCATTTCCGAAGACGGCGAGACATAGCACATTCTGAAATTCTCGAGATCGTTCGCCAACGCCCACTACGTACCAGCAAACACATATCCACAAGTCTAGACCACATTGCTCACAACTCTGATGCAGCAGTAGATGCCGACTCATTACCAATCCCCCATTCCATGATGATTCGGGCCTCGATCAAGCATGCGTCTCTGCTGCCATCAGAAAACCGTTTGTGTTTCTCAAGAAACTTGCCGTATGGAAAGGGACATTTGCCGTGCGCTCCAAGGTATAAGAAGGAGCGATCGCGCACCAAAAACTAAGGTGAGCACCATTGATTTTTTGAACACATATTTGCCACCTCCAATCCGAGCCAAACTATTTCCTGTCTACATTGATATGGTTTTTCCTCCTGTCCTTGAATGAGCTTACCGGATTATGGCTTCTATTTCATTCTGAATTTAAACGGAAAACGAAGAGAAACAGGTTAATAATCACTGATCAGTTGAACAATCGAGTGGTTGATATTGAAAGATGTGAGGAGATTTACTATTCGTGGCCAACATTGATACCCGGAATTACCTTCCTACCACATTTTACCACAAAATAAAGAAAACATATCCAAAAAAAAAACCCAGAAACCCCCGGAGACCGTTTATACGCCTGCGCCAAAGCTGCCCCCTTCACCATCCACACCAACCCACACGTCAACCCCCTCCTCTCTAATCTAATGCTTATACGTGATAATACACCCCTCATCCCTCATCCCTCTAAACTCCACCACATGCAAGCCCAACTCCTCCTGGTACTTGCACCTGGTCATGGCATCCAGGATCCAACAAAGCTGCATGGCCCACATCTTGACATTCTCCAGATAACAGCCCGCCCAGGGGCTGTTCCTCATCTGGTCGTGATTGCGCTCCCACACGTTCAAGAAGAAATAAAGGATGTGGTGATTCGGTCTCCAAGTCGCCTTGCTCGGGCCCTTGCGCAGGTATTCCCTGGTGCCGAACATGCCCTGGAAGAGCGGGATGATGTGGTATATGGGGCAGGGAATCGTGGAGGTTTTCGCAAAGGGATCCGCCGGAGGGGGGTTGTTGTTGATGGTGATGGTGGTGGTGGTGGTGGTGGTAGGTGGGGGGGAAGAGAAGGAGGTGGTGGACTTGCGGGAGGCGGCTAGGGGCTTGAGAAAGTCACGCTCGAATTCGGTCCAGAAGGGTGCGAGGGCTGGAGAGGCGAGCCAGGCGGTGAAGGTGTCGTAGCAGGTGAAACCGGCTTTTTTGGAGGCGAACTCGAGGATGGCGCGGTGTTTGGGGCTGTTCATCTCTTCGATGGTGAGGAAGGTGTTGATGTTTTGGGAGTCGGGGGAGGCCATCTTGGGTGGAGATACCAGGGGTTGTTGGTTGGTTGGTTGAGTGTTTGGGGTGGTCATTGTCAAGTTGTTATCGTTGTTGTAAAGTTGCTGATGTGAAGCTTGTTGTTGCTGTATTTGTGTGAGGTTGCTGTTGTGTAGCTTTTAATGCTTCGGAGATTGCTTGATGTGTTGTCGAAAGTCAAGATGAGCTATCACCTAGAATACTTATATATCATACGGCTTGGTCGTCATCATGAGACGGAGGTAAGCAATCAAAGAGAGCTGTTTTGGCTTGATCGTGGATGTGAGACAGCGGCGACTAACGTCATGAATGCTTGAGCTGTGCTCTGAAAGAGAAAATTGTTCGAAATACATCCTCACTGTTCAGTTCCTGACACTCGTAACAGCGCAGGTGTTCTTTTCTGTTCCTACGGATACATGAACCCGGCGTTCCCGCGTCGAAACAAAGAAAATGACAGCATTGACAAGACTGTTCAGTGAACAAGACGGGAATTCACAGCCACAGGGACTAGAACCCTGCTAAACAGCCGAGCTCTGTCCCAAAGACAAAGAGATGGCTAGTATCTACTCTGGCATGTGCTGCATAGGGGGGATCGTATCATGGGGGAGTTAGCAATCATGTCTTGCTTTCAAACATATGATGTCGACAAGCGCATGTATTCACAAAAGAAAACATGGGACCGGCACAGAGTTGGCAAGCTTTATGTGAGATGAAGATATGATATTTTTCCAGGCCTGGATATGATGCAAACCATTTGAACTAACAAAGTAGCAAGTGAAACGACCGTAGTTTCTGAGACGGAATGCCTCAGGTAGAATGATATATGATAGTGCCCAAGCGACAGTCACCCTAACATACCACTTGATAACCGGTGCTGCTGTCTGAAACGAGTTCGTCAAGCATATCAAGGACGATGATCGAATCCGTCGCCCAAGCCCTTATGTTCGCCGAGTGCGCATTGCGCCAGCCGCTTCATCGAGCATGTGTTGTACCTCATAGCAAAACCAGAATCAACCTTGATGATGGGGAAATCCCCAGATCTCTGCCGCGTGACATGTTGATATGTTCGTGATGATGACAAATTACATAAGTGGACAAATGCGATAAGCGAGCACACACAACCTCTAGTCATGGACGCTTGTCATTACAACCACGAGCTGTTGTTCATGGTTTCAAGGTATGGGCAGTAAAACCGGTCTCAGGAAAACTCTAATGGCCGAGTGGTAAAAGGGAGAAACAACTGTGTCCTGGAGAACGAGACACAGACAATTTACAATGGGATGGTGACGGCCATGGCTCTATGACAGCCTTTGTCCACTTGGCATTCTGTTGACTGAACATGCCCGTGGCTGAAGATAGTGGCGTTATTCGGCTCAGTCCCTCATCTGCCTAACATTGATATTGATGCGCTTGTTCTTCATCCAGCCCCTCCAAGCCTCATACTTTCCATCTTCCGCGGGCCAATCCTCCAGCCACTCGGGACAGGTGCCCTTGAAGATTTTGGGCACACCATGCCAGGCAAACCTGGACTCCTTGGTCATGTAAATGATATCGCCGGACCGTAGCCTTAGCAGCAAGAACTTCTTGTCGCTCTTGCCACTTTCACTTTCTGCGGATCCCTTTTGCTTTTCCTCTTCCGACACCTTGCCCCAGTCCTCGGGGCAAATCATGAAGAGCGAATCACAGCCTATACTCAAGCTGATCAGGCCTTTGTCGGTCTCTTCTGACACATCGCGGTGCATCATCATGGTATCGCCGGGGGTGTAGAAGTTTACAATGGCCGCTTGGGCCAGAGTCTCAGGAAAGAGGGTCTCCAAAAGGCCGGCAATGTCTTTGGGAAACTCGGGGGGCAGCTCGCCCGGGTAAACGCGATTCGTCCAGTCATACTGTCCACCCAGGGTGACCCAGTGTAGCTTGCGGTTGAAGACTTGCTGAAAAGTGAGAGGCTTGTGTACAGAAGGGTCCTTTGGCTCAAAACAAGTCTCGGAATCTGGAGGGTAGGAGAAGAAGGATTCCTGAAGGCCTGTTTCGGGATCCACGGGTGGGTAGGGGAGCTTGAAATGGAGATGCATGTTGGTCTGGTGATGGGGTTGGTTAAGATCGCGGTGGATGATGTTGCGCAGGAGCGTCTTTTGGACCTCGGGAGGAATGAGATTTGGGAGAATCAAGAGACCTTTTGGGGTTGGTCAGCAAAGATTCGTGAGGAAGAGGGGTCCAGGATTTTGAGTTCACCAGGCAAGAGAGGATGGTAATAGATGGGGGCGTCCTTGTCTGTGCGGAACTCTGGTGAGTCCTCGGGGCAGATATGGCTGAAGGACTTGTTCAAGGTTTCGGTAGGAATGGAGCCAGCGAGCACAAACTCGGGGGCTTTTCCGGGACTGCGCAAGTCATCGATCTCGGGGCTGTTCATGACGATTTTCTGGTCGACTTTGGCGAACGACTTCCACTTGAGCCGCAGCTCATCCGACGGCTGCTCGTGCGCATCCAGGTCATGGTGTCCACCCATCATCTTGAAAGTCGGGAAGTTCTTTTGAGCGAGATATCCAAAAAGAAGATAGAAAAGTAACCGAAGAAATGGATATAAGTATACAAGTTGACTCCTTCCGAGTCCTCGTGTGACGTTGCGGATTTGGAGTAGGTAAGTATCGTGAGATGAAATTGTGGGGACTTGAGTGAAGCTTCAGACGGGACGGATGGTCGAGATGGATTGATGTGTGGGCGTCGAGCTGAGGCTGGGCGTCTGAATGGCTGGAGCTTCTGAATGGCGCCACAAGTCAGGGGTAGTCAACAGAGGTCGTGGCTACTCTACCCCATCTTGGTGGGCTGTCGGATACAAGTACACCGGCACCGAGGGGACAGACGGGCTCCCGGCATTGTGTGTTGTTATGGTACTTGCGAGAACAAGGTAGAGGTACATATGTACCTAGGTAGGTTGCTTGAAAGTTTACCTACCTACCTTTACCTCGGAGTACCGACCAGGAAAGCGGGCATTTTTGGACGCGTTCATTCCTCCCTTGCAGTCCGTCCATCCAGTGGTTTCCAGGGTGCCGTCGCGGTCCGCGCTTTTTGTGTTGACACGGATTTCCGTTGCAGGCGCCAAGTAGACGTAATCGTCCTGTCTCCAACCACCCGGACGCCCGTCTAGAATAAAACCTACTGCACCTATTACAGCGGACCACCCCCTGGACTGTCCTCTAAATCCGACACTCGAACGACAACCACAACTTCACAACCTCGACTTGCACGCCCACCGCCTCTCCTTCCTTTAATTTCTGTCCCTTCACCGTCACGGTCCCTTACTAGTATCAAGAAGTTGCAGGAACAACGGACGACAATTACATCGCTCGCTGCATCATATTGCCTTTCCATCAGCGGCCTTTCGCATTCAGCCCTCCGCCCAGGACGACCCGTCGACATTCACGGCACCATCATCACGACCAAAAGTCAACACCAAAACAAAGTATTTACGGTAGTACTGTAGCCTTTTGACGGCAACGACGGACGATTCCACCTTTTTTTCGTTTTTGTTTACCAATCCGCCACTACGCTCCCTTTGGACACCACCTATCCTTGGCTGGACTTTGACTCTCCAAGGATCAATCTCAAGAAAGCGACCCTTCGACGGCGGTCACTTTCTCCATCCGCCGCCGCCCCACGCTTCGTTCTGGGCTTTTCCATCACTGTGCTTCAGCGCTAGGTACAACATCGTTCGTCGTAATCGTCCCCCACCACGACGACCACGATCACCAGGCACCACCCCGACTAGTAGTTCTACGACTCCAGTCAAGGTCAATTCTTTTCCTCCAAGGACTTTCAAACCACCCATTTCAGTATAGCGGCCTGGACGGGTAACAGAGCAACCATGGAGAACTATCAGAAGCTAGAAAAGATTGGCGAGGGTACAACATCCCCTTCTTCTTCTACCCCTCCACCTTGGCTCTCTTCCTTCCATGTCCCGTACTGACATCCCCCCTTCCGCATAGGAACGTATGGTGTCGTCTACAAGGCCCGCGACTTGGCCAACAGCGGGCGCATTGTCGCCCTCAAGAAGATCCGTCTCGAAGCCGAAGATGAGGGCGTCCCCTCCACCGCCATCCGCGAGATCTCGCTGCTCAAGGAGATGCGCGACCCCAACATTGTGCGCCTCCTCAACATTGTCCATGCCGACGGCGGTCAAGGCCATAAGCTGTATCTCGTCTTCGAATTCCTCGATCTTGATCTGAAGAAGTACATGGAGGCCCTTCCTGTCAGCGACGGTGGTAGGGGCAAGGCCCTTCCCGAAGGTACGGGCGCCGGACTGCACAATTTGGGACTGGGCGAGGATATCATCAAGAAGTTCATGAGCCAGCTTTGCGAGGGCGTCCGATACTGCCACAGCCACCGTGTCCTACACCGCGATCTCAAGCCCCAGAACCTGCTCATCGACCGCGACGGCAACTTGAAGCTAGCAGATTTCGGTCTCGCCCGCGCCTTTGGTGTTCCACTCCGTACTTATACCCACGAGGTCGTCACATTGTGGTACCGTGCGCCCGAAATTCTGCTGGGTGGTCGTCAGTACTCGACCGGTGTCGATATGTGGTCCGTTGGTTGCATCTTTGCCGAAATGTGCACACGCAAGCCCTTGTTCCCTGGTGATTCGGAAATTGACGAGATCTTCAAGATCTTCCGGTACGTTTATGCAGTTACCTTCCCTTGTCACCTCTCCGCTTCTCCCTTAGTGTGCCATACTGACTTCTTTTCCTCCAAATAGTCTGCTTGGAACCCCTACTGAGGACATCTGGCCCGGCGTCACCTCCTATCCCGACTTCAAGGCATCTTTCCCCAAGTGGGTACGCGACTACAACGTACCACTTTGCCAAAATCTTGACGATGTCGGTCTTGAGCTACTTGAATCCATGCTTGTCTACGATCCTGCTGGCCGAATCTCTGCCAAGGCAGCGTGCAACCACCCTTACTTTGAGGACTACAACCCCAAGCCAAAGAGCAAATATCGCGACAGCAGCAGATACGCCTAGGGGCGTTCGCCAAGGTCAATGGAGGAGCGTCATGACAATAGCAAATCGACTGTCCAAGCTTTGCAGCCGGCTGCTTAGGTTCGGTTGGATCTCGGTGACCTCAAAGTGGGCAGTTCGTCGCAAGGGTATACAGACTTTGTGATTCTACCAGTAGCGAGTGAGGTCGACACACCGAAACGGTGACAGAAACAAACTGTCATCATCACACCTGAAGCATATCATAGCATCCCATTTTGCTTTCAGGATACTCGGAAACATGATATTCGACACATCAAATTCCCCATACCTACATTTTGTTGTATGTAGGGTTGTGTTTTTAGGGAACAGCGTTCAAAGGGGTCATGGGTAAAGGAATTACATTGGAATGGAGTTCTGTATTACACGATTCGGTGTTATCTGGAAGAGCAAATGGCATTCAAGGGATGGGGCTTTCTGTTAGCCCTGGTGCATATTAGGGAGTTGTGGTGTGAAGTGTACTGTACACAGGGAGGGAAAAGGCGCAAGACATTGTTCCAATAGATCGCGCATGTACATACCCCCCTTTTCCAAACACCGATCCTTCGTTTGGGGATGCGAAGTGATGTCGGCTATGCCTTCATCTTTCATGTGCTCCATTTCTTTCTCCCTGCTCTGTTTTATGTTGCCATTGATCGATTTCTCATGTTGCCTTCTTGGCTGTCTCTCTTTCTGACAAGCGCTCACACCACCGCGTTAAATGCCCCCCCAACATCTCGGATATCAAAGGGCATCACATCAGTGGATTGGGAACCACTCAACAAGCCAGATCAGGCGTCATAGGGAGGCTATATACCTGCAATGCACTCACTGAAGCTCTACCTAGTCCCAATATCTCAACCGTGGTGTTGCGTGGTGTGGCATCCAGACACTCCATCGGGGTCGTACCTTTTTTGCCTGTTTAACAGTCTCTATTCAACACGAACAGGTAACAGGAGTTTTCTCGCCAATCGGGGGACTGGCATCTGCCATCGTATCTTAAACGTACTTACATATTTGGCTTGGAGAAGGCTGACAGCGGAGGACGGATTCGTTCGACGATAATCGTGCATGATCAACGAAAGGTCATAGGTAATTGGTCGATTTGGAAGCAAGAATAATACACAGCCCTGGGTATTTCAGTGTACCTTGGTACGACAACACGCTCATTATCCCTCAGAACAGGAGGAAAGGAGTTCGCGCTCCCAGCGGGTGGGGTGGTGCTCTTAAGAATTCTTGGGGACAGAGCTATGGCGGTCACTGCTAATTTATGGCGAGATATCAGTTTGTGACACATTCGGTGATGCGGTGGAGAGGGTTCACGTTGGAGGTGTCGAACTTGAGAGGAAGGGCTTGATGTTGCGATGCTCGGTACTCATGTCAACATCAATGTTAGGTAGGAACTTGGTATCGACTATAGTACCTCAAGTAAGTCCACGAGCAGGCTGCAGTGAGGCAGAGCGGGACGCTTCGCTTGAGTGAATCCATGATGGGACTTTGAGAAAGGCCTTTGAAGCCCAAGACCTATGCCGAACGACATAAGCAACTGGACTATTTGCAGGAACAAATCTTGCGATGCTGTCCATACTATTAGGTCGAAGAACGCCTTTGATATTGACATAGAATCATGTACGAATCTGCTGTTGCTGTCAACCTACTCACTCCGAGGCCCGTATGATTTAACTGACCGGATTGGCCTATTTGATCAGAAGACTGATGATCCTACCTTCATGCAAAGACTTTGTCCTCCTGCTATTTCGAGCTGATACAAGATGCTGTGGATAGTATACTAAGGACTGCATTCGTTATCGGATTCTGCGTTCAAACTGCCTGCAAAATGGCAATACATGAACTTTATTCTGATGGCGACCGCCAATCTTGCTTGCCACCAATACGAAATTCCCGTTCGGCAAGTATGTTGATGAGAAAGAGGAAATGTCTCGTCAAGAAGTCCTATCGACACTTGATCTGGTTCAGTGTATCACAAATTGAATATAAGAGCGCGAATCCTCACAACCTAATCATCTTCCGTTCCTCATCTCTCAAGCCAACTTCACAGAGTCTTTTCACTGCGTTCCTCCAGTTTCTTGACGTCCAGGCCTCTCACCTACCCCAAGCACACAAAGTCATTCATGACCATGCAGATTACCTCAGTCCTCACTGCCATCGCGGCCTTCAAGCTTACCGCCGTCCCTCTTCTCTGGCCCCCGAGACTGCCCCTGGTGTTGCTACATATGCTCTCTTTTACCCCGCCGAAATTCCTGTAACCTACAAGATTGATCCTCGAGCGAGACCGACCTTGCTGCTTACCGTCTTGACCAACGCGTTAACTCCGGTGTAAGCAACTTGGCTCAAACTTATTCTGCACCACCTCCCAGTCATCATCAATCACCCTATGGCCTCCAACTTCTCTTATGTCGGCCCCGATCCAGGAGCCAACTGCCGTTTCTTAACAGACCTTAAGCCCCAACGTCAACAGTCTGGTAAATACCCAATTCTTGGTTGAGTGGGCTAGCCACGGTAATCGACGTTCTGTTAATAGTGGCCTAGATTTCCACGATGAGAATTGCTGGTCGTCTGCGGCAATCTTCCTGAAAACGGCAATTTGGACAACTAAATGGCTTGCGGCGAGGGAAAATCCAAAGTTAACATCAACTATAACCACAGCATCTGGACTTGTTGGCGCGGCGCTGCTTAATTATCTCGAAGCACGCTGTGTATCCCCTCTTCTGAGAGCCGCATCACCGGCCTTGCATGTCGAGGTCTGTACTGCGGGCGCCTCTTTCTCTGTTCTTCTCTTTTAGGAACCTCCTCGATTCTTCTAGTGGGCAGTCATTATCTTTGTCAACTGTGCTGCACCCCTTACAGTCACGGTTACTAGGTAGCATCTTGACGCAGTCAATCCTATAGTCGGTGATTTGAGTAGAACGGAGTGCCTGCGGCCTCAACCGAACGACAGAGTCAACCCCAACGACAAAGTTTATACGCAGAGCTTGATTACAGTGACCCTATAACAGAAGGGGTACCTATGAAGAAATCTCGAAAGAAATGCGAGCGTAACTACGCCGTGCATTGACGTTTCGGTTCTTTTCAACCATTGACTGCGAGGTCAGAATAGAGAAGTGTCCTGGAACACAGCATGACAGAAAGGATGGCTGGGTGTGTTTCTTTCTCCTCTCTTTTGCACTTAAAGTCGGCTTCAAGTTCATGGGCAAACGAAAGCTAGTAAAAAGGGTGGTGAGTCCTCTCAAGCACAAAATCCAGATGACACTTTGGCCCCCCCCTGTGCATGCCGTTGCAACATCAATGATGATACCTGGTCACTGAACGAAAGCAAACCTCGATGACCAACGTGGAGGTAAAACACAACTATACTGGCCCCCCCAAACAAAATTTCTGTCCCTTCCAGATTTCATTTGGATTTTTCTTATCTCTTTCACTTTCCCCTGTTCTACCACAGATCAGCGCACATGTTGTTGATGGGGATCATTTACCGAAACGCAAATCAGGAACATATTTTTCCCTTGAACCTCCTCCATTGGTATCAGTTAGGTAGGTAGGTAAAGCAGTCACTCTGCAATAACGCAAAGGTCACTAACTTCTCAGCCAGCCCATTTGAGCCTCACTCTTCACCGCTTCGAGCATCAGCCAGCCAGCCAGCCCGTTACTTACCACACGCCACGGCGTTTCATCGATTTAAGGAAATAGATATCAACGGGCTTGCCAGTGTCTGTTCATGTATCATATGTAGCTCCTGACATGCAGTGCATCAAGTAAAACCGACTGAGCACATGGGGCGGGTTCTGTTGCCGTGACACACACTGGCAATGGTGTAACACGAAGATGGTTGAGAACTGAATACCAATTTCCCGAGTAATCTCCCTTTGGCCATCTTCGATGATTGGACTGGGGAATTGGGGTACCCCTATGCTCGATCTGCCCAATCTGTAATTTGGAGGTGATGAATTCGAAACATGGCGGTACAAGAGGAAGAAATGAAGCTGGTACGCCGGAGTTACAGATGGCTGGACTTTTCGTTGATTGGGTGTCTGAGGTTCAAGACTCAAGGTTGTCACAGGCAAGCCTTCGATACATGAATTGTCGTGTGGCCCTTTGGTTTACCGTCTCAATTCAATTGTACCTCTAAAGTACAAGTGAACGAAGTTCGTTTCAACCATTGCACCTCAACTCGCCGATAATACCTCTAAGAAGCCATCACGATCACGATCTCGGTGTCTGTTGGTTGATCAACGAATGAACATTCACGGTGAACGTGGAGAATTCTTCTTTTGTGAAGTGCGCCTTCCTCAATCTGGTACTGTACTGCATTCACCACACTGCACTGCAAGAGCGGCAAGTCCTGAGATGCAGTGCCTGAGTGCTCAAAAGAGCCAAGGCCGCAAAGCAAAGGTGTCTGCGGCGTAGTCCAGCGGGGGACGAGATTTGTTGTTGGTCAGGTTGTATTAATCTGATCACAATTTAATAGTAAATGAACTAATCAAGCGATTGAGCGCTGTGAACCAAAGTCATATCGCACAATGTCTTGACCGTTTAGAGGTACCTTACTGGGACCGTGACTGCAGTGGAACAGGCACACGCAACATTCAACGCTTGAGCCGGTGACACCTTCCAACTTCAAGTCCGTTCCACAATATCGACCTTCAGCTGCAGACGTCACTGCCGCCAGTCTTTCGCTGTCAGTTAGTCCAGGAAGGCAGCGACGGACGTCCAACTCCGTCAAGAGATGAGCTCAACAAACTGACGGAACTTGAAGATGAAGTACCCCGGCCAGCGCCTTTGTTAGTGCCATCAAAATTTCCCATAGATAATCTGATCCATCGACTACCACTGCACTCTTGACAGCTTGTCCCGATATGGTACTCGGTCCTTTCTTGGCCGCGGTTCGTTGAGCACTGCACGCAAGTTGACCGGACTTTCCATCCTGAGTTTCTTTGGTCCGCGGCTCCAATGGCAAGCTGAGACTCACGATTTTTCAACCGTGACTTGCAGAGTCCTCCACCCATTTCCATGCCGTGCAGTGCCTGTAAGGTAGGTGTACTTCTAGGTACCACCGAGCACTGCAGTGTAAGTACTATCATGAATCTGGCAGTGCCTCGTACTGCACGATTTCGGCAGCGAGCTTGGGTAGAGGTAAGCCACCGTACAGTAGATGTATCCAAACTGATTAAGTAGTCCGTCAGTTCTGACAGTTGAGGATTCAAGATGATACCTCAGAACGAAGTAGTACTGGACACACTGCCTGCGCTGCATCCAAGTTCTTCAGTTCCATGCACTACCTCTACTTACCTTACTATCATTTATTTACTGCACTCGGTCCCAAAAGTGATTCCTCTTGGATAATAAACCTTGAAGCATCGATCCACATAGCGCCACAAACCAACGTGGGCATGCCACTCTGCTGCTATTTCTAGCCCGTCCGGCCAGATAAGCCGTCCATCGTTTACTTACTGATCGTTGGCCCACTCCAACCGTAGAATTAAACACTGCAGCGATCCCAACGGTGTCGGTGGTGGCATCTCGTCCCAACGGTCCCGGGCTCGCGAGGGTGAGGTGAGAAAGGAAATTGGTTTACCATATTTAGAGCACCCTGGCCGCAACTCGAGCTCCGTCTGATAAACGCTTGCAACCGTCTGCAGTAGAGGTACTTAGTATCTCCGAGATCGTGACAGCTATTACCGTGGGGTCAGTCCAGGTCTTTGAAGGATCAGATCTCGCTCGCAACCACGTTGTTGGCTCCGCTAAACTCCAACTGCAATCCTCATTCTGTTTGAATGGACCGGGGTGGAAATAGAAACCACCAAGAAGTTCCCTTGCGGACCGCCCTCAGCCCTAACAAAGTAGATGCAGGGTAGATACCAACTTCTCAGAATCCCATGTAGGCAAAACTTGCATCTCATCATGATGCCTCACCATCGCCGTCGCCAACCTGTACTGCAGTGTCTAACTGTCCATCTAATCCGAGCAAGGATCTTCAGAGTACTTTTCTACTCGAAGACTTAAACTCTCCAAGAGAGGAAAAAGGGAAAATAAAAAAAAATCAAAGTGTTTCTCCTTCCAAATTTCTCACATTCCAGGCTGCCCCCAATCCCAACGTCTTGCGCCTTCGTTATAGCATGTACTACTTACTTTCAGTCGACTGGATGGTAAGTAGTGTAGCCGCAAGTAAACAAACGCGCGCGGTAAAGAGCGGTTAGGATCCCCTATTTGGTAAGTGCAATTACCGGACGGCGTTTAGATCCCGGCCGTCTGTTACTGTTGTTAGTCAAGCGAAAAGCGGTGATTGGCTGAATGGTTCGCTGCTTAACAAGATGGCGGGTTAGAATTCCATATGCATACTCCTACATGAAGTTGGAGGACTCCCAGCCAGTGATGTTCAATCTGGTATTCGCGGCCTGTCTGATGCGCTTGAAAGGGCTGTAACTTTGTAAGTGGCCCCCAGATGTCCGATATATTTTTAAGCTGTGGTTAGTTAGGTCAGGGCGCCGGGCCAGATACGGTACCTGATCCGACCAACCAGGGATCCACCCGGCGCCGGCCCCGCCCCGCTCCTGCATGTTAGCGCCGATGTCATGTCCGGGGCCCGGTCTGCCGAGTCAGTCGAGGTCGGACCCGTGTTTCGTTTTGCGCTTTTGAGATGGCATACTTGGTTGGTGTCGCTCGAGTAAAAGTAGGTGATACCCAGTGTATCGTGCCTAATACCACAAACCGAATTTAGATCGGTGTATCTTTAGGTACCTACCTACCTATGTATAATGTCTTGCTCGATGATGCTACTTCGTGTGCGATATCGTCGATGCAAGCATTTCGTAGTAATGTAGCTTCCAAAAATTTCACAGGCATATAAATGAGAGGCATAGCCGACTGAAATTATAGTCGGAGATTAGTACGTAGTGCTGGTGTTACCACACCCGTTGAGGACCTTGGCAACTTTGGGCTTGACATGTCGCATCGCATCGTGATGATCTCGGTCAGGAGCGGCCGTCAAATGGGAGAGACACCAGACGCGTTCAGGCGATTATCGCGATGGTGTGAAGCAAATCTCGCGTCGGGACTGGAACCTTGAGAACCTCGGTACGTACAAGGGGAGATGGGTGGTTGCGCCGGTGTGTGCGGTAACACGGCTGCACGTCATAAGCCACGCGGAGAAACCCTGGAGCAACCACCTTTAATTTCCTAGTTCCCCTGTTGCAACCATTAATTTGTGGTTTAGTGCTACGCAACCCCAACGATTCCTCCAGAGAGTTGGACAAGATTTGATTCGCCCTGGGAGAGTTCGCATGTGAAAGTAGGTGATCCTTGAGGGAGATCGTTGGTGATCGAGGCCTGAAAGTCCTGACTCTCTTCTCGTTTGGTCTGTGGCTTGTCGAAAAACTGAATCCATCCCACCGTCTCCAAGATTCCCTTGCGACGCCGAGGTTGGCATTACAGCCGCTGCCGAATGTGTCGATTTCTTCTTGCTCACGATAACCCATTCGAAACAAGCCCGGAGACTCCGACATCCAACTTCTAGTGTACACCCTCAGGGCTGTATATCCCGTGTGTAGCACTTGGTATCATGGCTTCGTGTGCTAAACGCCTCCACAAGTAACGATGAGTCGATTGCATCTTCCAGAAAGTTATGATGGTCAGGTGTATGTGTGCCTCGGCAGGGCAGATTTCCGATTGCTTACTTTCAGCCTGATGATTCCACATGTGGCCATCGTCAGTGTTGTTGAGCCTCCGTGAGGTATGACGCATCATCAGCCATCAGATGGGGCTTGATCGTCGCCTTCCGCCTCTAACCGCATGTCGATCAGCGTCAATCAGGGTCTCAAGCAAATTCAGGGACTGGAGGACCGAGAGGCAAAGATTGCGCATGCAACCCGTATTTGTCGTATTCGAAGCAAAAACTTTTCCGATGGCTACCAGCTTCTCAAGGAGTCAAGGCATCGCCCGAGTTTCGCTTCCCAAGCGACCACCGAAAGTTGACTAGCTCAGCCACAACCTCTCACCTGTCATTTTCTTGGATGACAAGCCTCTTTTGAAGATGATTGGCTGCCATGTCCAACTGTAGTCTCTTGACAAGAGGAGAAAAGAGCAGGGCCCCTCAAGCCATGGTAGTATCGGCCAATCAACACCTTGGGCGGCAGTTACACGGCTCTTGCCTCTGACATTGGTAAATGAGGCAGACGAGCGGATGGATACGTTTGACGCTGCGATTGCTTTAACATCGTGAACCGTTATACGGGATCTTCGGAAGAAGAATACATTTTCCTTTCTGGTGCGGGTTTGCCTTCCTGGGGCTCGCTTGGCGTGACTTGGCGGGGAGGAGGCGTCATTCATTTGAAGTCGGCAACTGCTCATAGGACCGCCGCTCCAACTGAATGACAATTCCACTTGTGTGGTTGCCCCTTCTGGTATTATCCCTCGCGCAATCCCTGACATCAAGACATGACGGGAACTGAAGATTGAGGTTCGGTGTCAGATATGCATAGTACCTGAACGATCATCAAATCATTACCACTCAGGCACGCCAGGGCGATCAATGAAGAGTAGGTGATGCCCTTGACGTCTTATCGGCCCGCAGATGAGCCATGGTATGAATGCATCAACATTGAGTCGTTTATTGAGTCCATTCCGTTCAGCCACGCGTCCCAGCTGTCCCGAAACCATCGGGTGGTGAAGCCACATTAATGCAAGTCTCAGGGGCATCTGCAACTGGAATGGAGGATGAATGATTATGGAACATGCCGTTGCCGCATGGGCTATCATTCGTATTCGATCGCCGGTTGCCGACTGATTCAAGATGTCAAAACGTGGCTAATCCGGAGGCATCGTTGGCGTTTGTGTGGATGAGCTGTATTGCAGTCGGGCCTTGAACAGGCTCTGCCAGGATCATGGATGACGCCAACACTAACGGCGCAGGATCGCATCGTTTGCAAGCGACAACGGGCGCGAAGTGGAAAATAGGACTTGGGATAGGTAGCTCATTACCAGCCAAGCCGATGTGCAAGTTGTCGGCCACGGACGCGGGACCGGCGCTACCGAGGCCGGCGGGACCCACCCGGAGCGGGTCTAGGTATCTAGTGTAAACTCTCGACGTGGGGTGCCAACCTACTGCGTATGTATCAGGGTTCATCGGCACAACAGCCTCGTCTTTTGGTTTTGTCGTTGAAGCTGGGGTCCTCGGCAGTCGGAAAGACCACTTTTTTAATATCATGTGGACGGATGATGGGTTTGGGTTGAGACGAGAGCTACTGCGCAGATTGAACGCTGGTTGCAGTGTTTCGTTTACCCCTCGCTTCAGACCTCAGGGGTACCGTGGCCGGCATTCCATATCTGCTCCGGAGGCCTACCTAGTCTTGATCACCATTGTGACCGGACGAAGAGAGTCCGGCTCGGGTGTGTTTGGACGCTGTTCGTTTCGTTTCACCGGGACGCAGTAATGGTTGCAGTGATGGCGTGCAGGGCTCCATTCTAGGGGACATGACGGAACAGTGTCTCCCGAAGTGCGTGTAGAAGCTGGGGAAAGCAGAACGGCATCCCTGTGTCAAGAAGCCCCTGGGTAGTGCCCAAGTTGAGTGATACATACATATGGGTGCTGTTTTGCACTTTTGCACATCATGGCCATGACATTGTGATGTTGAGACTTGGTGTGGAGGGACGTTGGCCGTGTCAGGTGCCGGAGTTTGTTGAAGCCATTTCGAGTTCACGACCATGAAGCATGGCTTGATACGTGGCTTGCAACATGGACGACGGGGTGGATTGTCTGCCGCTGATTGGGTCGGGTGATCATCTGCTGGAGTGCGTTGTCAAGCCGAGTTTTGAATCCTATCAACTTCCTGGTCTGTCTAAACAAGGGATTGTCGAGTGGAGGAGGAGGAGGAGGAGGAGGAGGAGGAGGAGGGATCCTCAATGACGGTCTCCTCGATGGCGGGACACCAACAGGCCTACCTACAGCACTATACCCTAGACCCGAACCCTAAGGGACCCGACAAGTGCCCTGGCCTGCAAAGCACGGGCCCCATGACTGCCTGACTGAGTGACTGATCTCATGCTTTTCTCAACCTTCTCGTTCTTTGTCAGTTTGGGCGACGCTGACTCCTCCTCTTCTTCTCCGCTCTCCAACCACCACTATCGATTTCAGTTATGGACATGCATGCATCATCAAGTTCCGTCGACGCCTCGCTTTTGGAAATGATGATAATCGCAGGTGCAATGCAGTCCAATTGATTGCGCCCGTCGGTCGCGGTTACCGGCACGGACTGGTCTCGTACAGTACTGTAGCTGGCCCGACTCTCACTGCTCCGACTGGCAGACCATCCATCGGAAGGAGTCTGGCAGTACACTACATAGAGTAGACCGCTTTCGGCCAAAGCTTGAACCCCTCGTCTGTTTCATGTCTGGACATCGGGCTCCAGACCCGGCCAATGGCATCCATGGCTTCCAATCAAAGCCCATTGTCCGCCGAACATCTGTCGAACTCTCAACCACTCATCCAGATCCTATGGGACGATCCAGGAGCCGAGGGCATGGGGCATGGACATGGACATGGGAACCTGCAAATCCAGAGCCTTTCAAAACGACATGGGCGGAAACGGACAGAAGGGCAAAGATGGGATTCCCAAAGGATCCAGATATCCAAGAACGGCAAGACATTGAGCACGTCGACGCGTGTTGATTGTGACTCGATCGACACTCGACCTTGAAGCAAAGTGCAAGATAGGGATGGACGGCCAAGGCGTGCCTTCCATGGAAACATCGTTTCAATACCAAATTGCTGCCGCTTACAAGGGCTGCAGATATTGGGAGTTACAGACTGGACCTTTGCACGACCTGCGACAATATCCTCCCTTGGCCGTATGAACTGGAATGGCCAATTGGGATATATCAAAAGTTCGCAATCTTTATCTTCCCTTGATGCCATGTCACCTACAGAACGGCGTCGATAAAGGTGCATCACCATCCATGATTCTTGCTGCCCTTTCCACCACATGTCAGGTCGCTAACATTTCGACTCTTGACCTGATTCAGAGACCCTCATTGGACTACATTCAACCATCAAGTGTTTGTTATTTTGGGGATACCCTGTCCTTCTCTATCTTTGTCTGTACCACGTCGTCCTCCAAGCCAAAACATCGAACACGCTACGAACTCGTACAAGTTCAACCCCGCTGAAACCCCTGGCCCGCTTCGCCTCAGAAGTTGCCGCCGCACCCAGAGCCTCCGAGAGCGAATCAGACAGCGCCGACGTGTGGCACTGGGCGACTGCTCGAACAAGGCAATTCTGGCAGAGAAACGCCGTCAGCACTCGACTCTACAACCGCCGCGCTGTACACATTAGCGCGCGACTGTTCCATTGCAGTGGCAGTCCGTCGCCCAGAATAAACTGGCACTTTTCAGGGTCGGGTCGGTCAAACGACGTACATATTAATTCAAACAGCGTCCCGTCGTCGAAGAAGTAAACATCACCACCGCTCTCCAAAGCACCAACCAACACCAACACCGCAAGCGTTGACGCCTGCCTTTCCTTTTCAGTCGCATCAACAACCGGGTATCCACAACGACAACCTATAGACAACTCGCCTGCAGGATCAGGATTTCCACTCATAATAACTCACATACACCGGTTACCGTGTCTTTGACGATTCGCTATCGAAGCCAATTTAGTAGTGCTGGTCACTTTTACAACCGACGTCCAAACACTCCACCCATTGCCGGGACCAAACATCAGTTCATTCCGAACATCACAAAGTCAAGCTGCCTCCCCAGGCCCACCGCCGACACCGACCCCAAACCCAACCCAAAACTTAACATCAAACTCTGCAAAAAAAGAGAGTTGTGTTCAGGTGAGTCGCATCGCAATACCACATACAACTGCATCCAGCCGGGACTGCCTTTTCCCGAGGTATCCATTTCAGCAGCTCTGGCATGGTCCCACACCGAGCCGACGGCGTTGTCCGCTCACAAGTGCCCTGAATCTTGCCTTCGAGACAGCTGTCTTGGGTGATTGGTTGCATTAACAAGACTAACCAGCCAGACAGGGATCTCCAGTGCCCAAGTTCGCCCCCGGCCACTGCCAACCCACTCCCGTAACCCATCGTGACTTGTGCAGCATTCCAGCCAGGCCCGTTCACGCCTGGAACCACGCTGATCTCACCCCCCTCTCGGCCCATCCTTGACACCCTACACGCCCCCACTGCGACTGCGTCCGATTCAGTGGGCCACCCACCACCACCTTGCTCTCACGGTTGAGAATCACGGCACCACACCAGCTCACGCATCCCCCTTGCCGGTAGTGTACCGCACGCCCTGTCCACCTGGGCTCACCTCCTGGGAACGCCTGCTCAGCCTCGTGTAGTGTACTTTGCTTCTCGTTTTTGCACGTCACCCCCCGGGCCCCTTCTGACGAACAGCCACCGAGACACGCAACAAAAAGTGGAAAAGCCCAAGGTCTAGAAAGCCCACTCAGAAGCCTCCAGCAGTGACCCATCGCTACCCGACCCTACGACACTACATATTTACTAAGCTCATTACCCCAACTTTTTCTCCCTTTTTCATACATAGTGCCTCATCCCGCCCGCATAAGCTTCGCCGCACGTCAACCTTCACCTTGGTCCCACACCCTTTTCCCATTTCTTGTTATATCATCACCAGGGTGACCGTCCTCGTCAACATTCCCTACCACCACAACTCCTCTTGTTGACATTCCGTCATCAGCATTTTTTTTTTTCATCCTTCTCAACCCACATCAACACAATCTTACAATGGGTCTACCATCATCAACAAGCATGAGCCTCAACGAGCTTAATGCAAAGGCTCTCGACAACTTTGTCTACAGCAAGGTCGACAGGGACATGATCAGGTTTTTGGCTACCGCCGCCAGCGAGGTTATCCAATGCGATCCCACCATGATGCCATCACCAACAGTCGCGGCCACTTCTGGAAGGGAACAGCAACCCACGGCGCCACCCAAGGTTGTCAAGTGTGAAGATGGCGGACTACCTACCCTCGAGGCCTTCATCAGCCAGCTTGTCGTCAGCTCCAACGTCCAGGTTCCCACTCTCATGTCGACTCTGGTCTACCTCAGACGTCTAAAGTCCCGCCTTCAACCCAATGCCAAGGGCCTCCGCTGCACCACCCATCGCATCTTCCTCGCTGCCCTCATCTTGGCCGCCAAGTATCTCAACGACAGCAGTCCCAAGAACAAGCACTGGGCCAGCTACACCAACATGTCGAGCTCCGCCTACAACTTTGGCTTTAGCCGCACCGAGGTCAACCTAATGGAGAAGCAGCTCCTCTGCCTGTTGGATTGGGAACTGCGCATTACCGAGGAGGATCTCTACCGCGAGCTGGACTACTTCCTGGCCCCCATCCGCCGTGATTACGAGGTCCGTCATGCCCGTCGCATGCGCGAGAAGGCCGAGAAGCGCCAGCGCCAGTTGGAGGAGGAGGCCTGGGTCCAGGTTGCCGCTGCCGCCGCCGCCGCCCAGCACATCCAGCAGCAGCAACAGCAACAGCCTACTTACATCTCTCCTCCCTCATCCCGCGGCAGCTCCCGCTCGCGCAACGGTTACGCCTCTCGCGACACCTCGCCACCCGGTCTTTCCAGCTCCGCATCTTCCTACACCAGCTCCACCAGCCGCTCGACAACCCCCGATAGCGAACTGGATCTTCCTCACTCTTACGTTGCCATCAACGGCGACGACTACTACCAGTCTGCTGCTATCCCACCTTGCGTACCGGAGAAGGATGCCGCGGCCGTGTACTTCAGCAACACGCGCGGCGCTGCCGTCTCCGCCGCCGGTACCAAGCGGGGTGTTCTCCCCTATGAGATTACGGCTGAGGACCTAGATGATTCCAGCAGGGTGAAGCGCATGCGCGGCATGCTTGGGCGTGTGTTTGGCGCTAACGCTGACCGGAACGTTATTCCGGTCAGGTAAATTTCCTGACCTGTTTGATTAATCAAGGTCAAGTTTTGCTTTTTATGTTTTTCTACTTGTCTCATCATCATCACCACTCCTCATTACTCCATGCATTGCATCCAAATGCATTGATTGCATTCATAACGGCGTTTTATCACTTTTTGGGAAAGGGTGGCAATCGTTTGCCTTAGAGACCTGTCTTTTTTTTTTTTTACACACCAAAAAGCGAGGTGTTCATTGGCTGGCGAAGTTCTACATCAGCATCATTGTCATCATCATCATTATCATCATCATCGCAGCATTTTCATACAGGGGTGGGCTGGTGATCGTATCGTCTGATTTTTTTGTTCTTGCTTTATCTTTCGTTGGGCATATACTACTGTCATCTGTCATGTCTCCTACTAATGACGGGAACGAATGGGTTTTTGGGTGGGAGTACGAGAGCATTACCGGGATATGGATGGATGGGTTATATGATGAGAATATCGTATGATGATGGACGATGAAAGAAAGGACGGGTCTTCCAGCATCAAGAAACTGCCGGAATCTTTTACTACATAAAACCAACCAAACAAAGAAATGGAATGTCATTCACACTTGCTCCCCAAAAGAAGGGCAGCATGGGGATGATTCAAACAATCTTTCTGACTTTCTCCGCCAAATCGGCTTTCACTTGTGACTGTTCTTGCTTGCGAATAAGAGATCAACTATTCATTTGAGCACGCAATGCGACGAGACTCCATCGCCTCGGTGCTACTCTGCTTTTTCTTTTCTTCTTTTAATCTTCTCAACACGTGGTCGTGTTCTCGACACGACAACCATTATGCGAATAACCAGGTTCGTCCTTGGTGATGGCGGTCCTTCTGGCTAATCCAACCGATGCAGTTACGAAAGCCCCATAAAAACTGTGGAACCCTCGTGTAGGATGGAGTAGTGTACACTATGTACACATGCAACTCCAACAGCAATGTTGGGGGATGGAAAGCCGGGAAGTTGTGGAGTATCTACATAGTGTAGTGTAGTGTAGATGGCACATGCTGACTGACACATTTGGATACATCATATGCATGGCAAAGGGGGACGGATGTGATGGGAATGTGGAAAAAGGGAATG